GACATGACCGGCCGGCCGGACCCCGAGCGCTGGCTGGCGATGTCCCAGCGCTCCTACATCCGCGACCTCCCGGGGCGGCGAAAGCGCGAGCTGAAGCGGCTCCGGGCCCTCGAGCAGGAGCAGATCAAGCGGCGGGGGGCGGAGCGGAAGAGGGCCGCCGCCGCCGCCGCCGCCACGCCCGCCTAAAACATTGGGAAAATGGGGCGAAAATGAGAAATCGGGGCTCGCGGGTTTAACAGGCGCCTGGCGAAGGGCGTTTTATTTTTTATGGGCAAGGCGAGGCGGGTTTTTTGGTGGACTAACTCTAAATGCGAATTCGCGGCGGAGGTGTGGCCCCTGGACAGGGGCGGATCGCGACGGCGCCGTGGCGCCCAACGCGCGCCTGGCGACCCCGATGGCTCTCACCTTTCTGCTCTTTTCACCCCCACTTTTTCTTTTCCACACACTACACTACACTACTACTACTACTACATACATACATACAAGGATTTATTGAGTCTCAACATTGCGATTTATCTACCCCGCACACGCGACCGATCCCCCGTGGGCGCCCCTTTGTCGACACCCCCGCCACACGCCTCACCCCTCGCGTTTGCCTACGCCCGCCCAGCGCGCCGCGAGCGAACAACCGCAGCACCCGATGGGAAAGCCGAAGTACCTGAAGAAGAAACACGAGGCCGCGGCCGCGAGCACGTCGCCCCCTCCCCTTTCTTCTCCCCTTCCCCCTTCGTCCCCGGCGGGGGATCTCGCGGGGTCCTCCGCGGCGATGGTGTCCTTCGCGAAGCCGAGCTACCGCGAGGGCCTGCACGACGTCCTGGTGGAGAAGCTCGACCTCAGCTACCCCGGCGCGCCGCTGCTGGAGAACGGGGTGCTGAACCTGGTGGCGGGCCACCGCTACGGCCTGGTCGGGGCGAACGGCTGCGGGAAGTCGACGCTGCTGCGGGCGCTGGGGCTGCACGAGATCCCTTTTCCCGCGCACGTCGACCGGTACTACGTCTCGCACGAGGTGGCGGCCTCCGACCAAAGCGCCCTGGAGGCGGTCCTCGCCGTCGATCAGGAGCGGGAGCGGCTGGAGGCGGAGATGGAGGCGCTGGCGGTGGCGGACCAGGAGGACGCCGGGGTCCTCACCCGGCTCGACGCGATCTACCACCGCCTCGACGAGCTCGACGCCTGCACGGCGGAGAGCCGGGCGGGGCGGATTTTGTGCGGCCTGGGCTTCACCCCTGAGATGCAGCGCCGCCCGACGCGGGCCTTCTCGGGCGGCTGGCGGATGCGGATCTCCCTCGCCCAGGCGCTCTTCATTAACCCCATGGTGCTGCTGCTCGACGAGCCCACCAACCACCTCGACATCGAGGCCGTGGTGTGGCTGGAGAACTACCTCGGCAAGTTCGACCGCATTCTCTTCATGGTCTCCCACTCGCAGGACTTCCTGAACAACGTCTGCACGAAGATCTGCCATATGCACCTGCGCCAGCTCACCTACTACGACGGGAATTACGACCAGTACTGCACGACGCGGCTCGAGAAGGAGAACAACCAAATGAAGAAGTACCAGTGGGAGCAGAACCAAATCAAGAACATGAAGGAGTACATCGCGCGCTTCGGCCACGGCAGCGCCAAGCTCGCGCGCCAGGCCCAGTCGAAGGAGAAGACCCTCGCCAAGATGACCCGCGGCGGCCTCACCGACGCCGTCGTGAAGGACCGCCAGGTGAACTTCGACTTCCCCTGCCCCGGCCGCCTGCCGCCGCCGATGCTGCAGTTTCGCGAGGTCTCGTTTCACTACCCGGGCCGCCCCCCGCTCTTTCAGGACCTCGACCTCGGCATCGACATGGACTCCCGCATCTGCCTCGTCGGCCCCAACGGCGCGGGGAAGACGACGCTGACGAAGTTGATGGCCCGCGAGCTGGAGCCCGCCGGCGGCTACGTCGCGAAGAACGCGCACTGCGTGATGGCCCGGTTTCACCAACATTTCGTGGACCAAATCAACATGGCGCTGACCCCTTTGGAGTGGATGGGGCGGGAGTTCCCGGACGTCACGGAGCCCGCCACCCTGCGCAGCGCCCTCGGCAAGTTCGGGATCTCGGGGAAGAGCCAAATGACCGCGATGCGGACGCTCTCGGACGGGCAGAAGTCCCGCGTGGTGCTGGCCTGGATGGCCTTCCGCCAGCCGCACTTTATGATCCTCGACGAGCCCACCAACCACCTCGACATCGAGTCCATCGACGCCCTGGCGGACGCCATCAACGCCTTTGAGGGCGCCGTCGTCGTCGTCTCGCACGACCTTCGCCTGATCGCGCAGATCGCGGACGAGATTTGGATCGTCGATAAGGGACAGGCCAAGCGCTTTGAAGGGGATATCGCGGACTACAAAGAACACGTCCAGCGCGAGGTCAATCGGATGGTCCAGGACTACGCCGCCAAGTTCTGAGGCCAGGCCTGCGGAGCGGCTTTCTTTTTCTTTTCGTTTTTTTTTCCCCCTTTTTTTCCTACCATCGTGCGATGCGCTTTTGCGGTTGAACATTTCTCCAAGGCCCGACCTCGAAGGCCGAAGCGTCAGGGTTTGGGGCTTCCGACTCGCGCGCGAGCGAATCCAAGGGATCGATCCCACATCGCGGACCTTTAACCCTCCAAACTAGGGGGTTTAATCTAATAAGACGGATGTTTAAAATGGTGTGAACGACAATAACTTAACAAGGGGGGACTTCATAAACCTAACCCCGCGTTGCTAAACCTAATTGGTCTTGAAACTTGCAAAGACCGCGTAACTCATGACTTCTATGGTCTAATCGAAAGCGGAGGGGGGCATTTATATCCTATGGAGCCGAAACGGTCAGGCCCTATTCCCCATTGCTGTGAGTTGGAGACCGAATGAGCGCCGCGACGTCGGCGCCGATCACCGGAACCCTTTTACCAAACCCCCCCCATTTTTCCTAATGGTGAACTCTTTTTTTTTCTCTTTCTCCTTTTTTTTCTCTCCACTTATATATTTCTATATTCATTGCATTATTAAACCGAACACAGGTCCACATCACCACTTTTCGTCTCCCCCGATAAATTGCCACGCCTTGCGCGACCCCTTGTTTATTTTTCTCCGCGTTATTCTCCGAGGATGGCCAAAGGAAAGAAGTCCGCTGATGCGAAGGGCAGCCAAAAGCGCCAGAAGAAGGTCCTCCGCGAT